GAGCAGCTCGCCCCGAGGGCGGCGTCTGGAACTCCGCACTGAATGGAGATCCGCAGGGCAGCCCATTGGGGTCGGGGGGTGGGGGGGGAGGGGGGCAGCTGCGGGGCCCGGGGGGCGGGGGTGGGGGTGCAGCTGCAGCCTCACCGCACGATCCGGGGTGAAGGGAGAAGCCAGAGGCCACGCCCACGCCTGCCCGAGACGGAAACTCTCTGAGTCCTGTTTGGATAACTCTAAATACGGTTTGGGCAGAGCACAGAGGCGACAGAATCATCCTTTGACAGGTCTGTCTCTTAAGTTTCTGAAATTTCCTTCTCACCTTTTATCGTACAAGCATCAAAAAAGGAGGTCTGGCCCACGGATTAGGGAAGTGGTTCCAATTTGACCCAGTGCCTGCGACAGTCTGCAGTCCTCTGGGAACACGCCGGCCCACGCCCGCCCACCGCAGCCCTCTGCCCTCCCCCTCTCCTTCCACCCTTTGACCCTGCACCTCTCAGATCCTCAGCCTGTCCCTTAAGGCCGCCCTTCCTCAATGGCCACTCTGTTCCCATTTCAGCCTGCTGGGGTGACGGGAGGATATCTGTACTATTAACTGATGTACTTGGTATTAGCAGTATTTCCTCCTCCCTTACTTCATCCCTCCTCCCACCCACTGCGGGAAGTGTGGCAGGTGTTAAATATTAGAGGTGAGGGGTTTGGGGGGGGGGAGGATAGGGGTTAGGGGAGGGGTCAGTCTCTTGTTCTTCCAGGCGGGTGCCTCAGGGTTCCAGGATGTGAGCTGGGACAACGGGTTAGGTAAAAGGCAAACTATTCCCAGGTGCAGGAGGGTCAGTCTGGCCACCGGCCACTGTGGCTGGTGCCAGGTGTCTGTTGTGTGCGGTGGGAGAGAGTTCCAATGGAGCCGCCGGCTGCTGAGCAGGTGGGGGAAACTGAGTCCCGGGCAGTCCAGCGGGGTGGAAACTGGCCTGACCGGGTCGTGAGCAGTCTGGGGGGTGGTGGGGGGGACCTGGCCTGACCCTTTCAGGATGGAGGCTTGAGGGAACATGCAAGTCTTAGCCGCGGAGCAAAGAAAAAGAAGAGCATTTGGAAAAATGAAAGGACACCTTCCCAATGTTACCAGGCACACCACTTGCAGACAAAGTGAGAAGCGTTAACACAAACATCTACAGGCAGAACAGCCCTAATCTTACTTAAGTGGATGAAAGTGTTTGCCGCATCCTCACCTCATCACACCAGCTCTCTGTCCCCAGTTTTCCAGCCGGAGGTGATGGACGGTTTCAGTGAGAACAGGAGGTAACGCAGGGAACTCATCGAGGCCGGGGGTTTCCGGCCCAGAAGAACAGTCTTTCTTGGAGCCCTGGAAAACAGGTTTGCAGACCAGGCTGTACCTGAGGTTTTCAGAACGTGCCCCGGGATTTTCTGTCTCAGTGGGAGTTCCTGCTCAGAGGCTATTCCTCGGGCTTGCCTCGGACCCCCTGCATCAGAGTCTCTACAGGAAATTCCAACAATATGTGGCTTCACAACCAGCCCGGGTGGGTTGGGTGCACGTGCAGATGGCAAAACCGTGCTGCGTTAACAGTTAAAAAAAACTTGCCAAAAATGTGTAAAAGATGCCAACACCTTGGGTTAGGGAACAGTGCAGTTATGTTTCCGTTACAGACTAATAGAAAGAAGCTTCAAGCCCTCCTGTGTAACTGAGGGGCAGGGGCGGGCCGTACCCACAGCGCAATAGCAACCTTATTTTACTTAGAAGAGTGCACACTCTAAAATCTTTCTTCATGGTAACATCATTCAAAAGGCTCTCTTCGGTTCAGGAGTTTACAGCATTACCCCCTCCCACCTTGTAACTAAAGTGATTTATATCCTATAATAAATAGCAGCATTCCATGGTTAACGCAGTAGGGCTGGACAGCTAGGATGCCATTTGGTGACTTTATCTTCCTCTTCCGGGCCTCTGCTGGTGTTGACAAGCTATGACATTATGGCAAACTGTCCCCTGTGCCCCCCTCTTTCTGGATGCTTGACAACTCGGGTAGTGACTACATTTCCCAGACTCCTTTGTAACGACACGTGGTGACGTGGCCATGTTTGAGCCAAGGGGCTGTGAGCTAATACGATCTATGGGGCAGCTCTGTCCCCACGGCCACTCTTTGTAACACACTGGGGTACATTCCTTCCAAGCATGTCAACCAAGAAGCAACCTTTTTTAACAATTGAAAAAAGTAACTTTTATGTGCTTTCTTGTGCAAACTATAAATCGGCTTCAGGTGTTTAAGAAAGAATTTGCAGATGTTGAAGAGGCAAATCATCGGGCGGACCCTTCACTCTGTTGACACAACAGAAGTCAAGTCCAAATGAAATGTTCTCAAGTTTGTAAATAACGAATATAAACAAGCGACCCTAAATTTGTGCACGTTTGATTAAGTGGACCTGTGCACTTTACAATGACACCCTTAAATTATATTCATGTCCTGAATGCAGACCTTCTTAAGACGTCTTGAACACCAATATTTCGCGCTGTTCATGCCGCCTGCCCCTGACACTGGGTTCGACTTGGCCACGTTTGGCGCTAGCACAGACTGGAAAATGTAATTCAGTGCTGCCTGTAAAATATGCCCACATGGGGAAAACACATAAAGGTATTGTTAATGAGCTAGAGGACGACACCACTAGTTACTGAGTTGTGAGATTACTGATTATTCTTATGTTCCTTTCTTCTCTGTGTATTTCTGCATTTTCAAAACTATGTATAATGAGCTTATAGTTTTACAATAAAGAGGGAACACATTTTTAGGATCGCACAACTGGAGAAGGATGTCTCCTTCTGTTTCCATGTCTTCTTGGTTTCTAATCTGGTGCCTTGCACGTAATAGATGCTCAATAAGGAAAAGTGTGTAAAGGAAGAAGGGAAAAAGAGAAATGGAAGAATGGAATAGAAAAGGGGGGATCTGCTGGGTGTCTTCTGTTTGCCCCTCTAGGTCCACTCTCCAACCTGCTCAGAACCCTAAAAGGCTGCCCTGCGTCAGCTGCCTAGATGGACTTCTTGTTCTCCGGTTGTGAGTTGAATCTCGCCCAAGGGACACCCTGGCGTTTCGGAGGTAAGGAGTGGATATTTACTCCCTGGGATACCTCCCTGCAGGTCACTGCAGCCCGCAGTGTCCCTCCACCGAGCAGACCCCAGACCCTTTCCGAGCAACAGTTCCCTCTGGAGAAAGCACTGCTCCCTCCCTCTGGACCCTGGGGCGGTAATGTGCCTGTCACTAGCCCAGTGTATCATGCTCTCCCTTGTGCTGTTTTTACATCTTGCTCCGTCTTCTAGAAATAGTCCCTTTATTAAACTCTTCTCAAATTGTCCAATTTCAATGCACCGTCTATGTATTGTCAAGACCCAGCGAGATACCAAATCTGTTGGTGACAATAACCCGACAAGGTCTATCCTTCAGGAGCCGATCTCGAAGGATTCAGAGGAAAACTTAGAAAAACGTCACACTAGCCCTGAGTGGTGTGGCTCAGTTGGTTAGGCATCTTCCCACAAAGCGAAGGGTCGCTGGTTCAATTCTTGGTCAGAGCACATGCCTGGGTTATGGGTTTGGTCCTGGCCAAACGAGAGGCGACCAGTTGATGTTTCTCTTTCTCCCTCCCTTCCCCTCTCTTTAAAAACTTTTTTAAAGTTAAAATTAAAATTTTAAAAATCATACTATTGCTCATTTCAAAAGCTTAAACAACAAAAGTATTACTTTCATTCGAGAGACACCACTTTTACACCAAAGATTTCATACTTGTGAAGTAGTTAGTGTGCTTTTTCTCCTGCCAAAGATAAAGATTCACACGCTTAGTCCTCTTTTTCTTTCCTTACCCTTACTGTTACCTCTAGAGGGGTGCAACACCCTCTGAATACTCAGTATTGATTGCGTAATGTGCGCACAGACAAACGAAGGGTACCTATTGCAGTGTGAGAATGTTCTCAGAGATTGATTACTCTTTTCCAAAGATCATTTCTCATTTACTTGTCAATATGATTTTTTTGTGAGTCCTTCAAGCCATTTTTTAACTCAGAAAGAACAACTTGGGGGTATTTTACTACTTAAAATTAGTATTACTTTTATAAAAGTTACAAATTCAAAAACCAAGGCTCCTATAATCTTATTATTTTATTTCAATTTAATAAAAATTTTAGCCCTGGCTGGCGTAGCTCAATGGATTGAGCGCGGGCTGGGAACCAAAGTGTCCCAGGTTCGATTCCCAGCCAGGGCACATGCCTGGGTTGCAGGCCATAACCCCCAGCAACCGCACACTGATGTTTCTCTCTCTCTCTCTCTCTATCTCCCTCCCTTCCCTCTCTAAAAAATAAATAAATAAAATATTTAAAAAAAATTTTTTAACATTTTCCTTTAAAGTGGTCTTTTATTAATATTTGGTATCATGCCTTGACCAGAGTGGCTCAATTGGTTGAGTGTCGTCCTGCAAAGTGAAGGTCCCTGGTTCAATTCCCGGTCAGGGCACATGCCTGGGTTGTGGGCCAGGTCCCCAGCTGGGGACACCCAAGAGGCAACCGATTCATGTTTCTCACATCAATGTTTCTCTCACTCTCTTTCTCCTTCCCTTCCTCTCTCTCTCTAGAGATAAATAAATAAAATCTTTAAAAAAATACTTGGCATCATTTACAAACTTAATTAAAACTTCACATAAATATTTTAAATTAATATAGTACTTTTACTTAATGTTTCAAACTAGCAGAACTTAGCAGAATGTTTATGACAAAAATAAATCTAATAAATTAAAATGGTAAAACCTATGAATCTTAAGTTCTCTTAAACATTTCAAGGCTTTTAACAAACTTTATAAACAGATCTTAATTTTTTCATATTAAAAATAGCAACTCTAACATTAAAAATTTAATTATACATTTTAAGCTGGAATCATGAGGCTAATATATCAGATCCTCTAAGAATAAGCCAAATTATCTTACCTATTATAAATATTTAAAATATGAGTCATACACATAAAGTTGATAAAAAATAATTCATTTTATTGGTTGATAGTTCATTATTTCTATATGTAAGGATCAAGTGAGAGAGTTTTATTATCCAAGAAAATTGGGGCTGTAATTAGAAGCAAACTGATTATCCCAGACGAACAGGGTTATCTGCTTAGCAGCCAACGTTACATGAAAAAGTTTGACCGGGACACCTCTGGAGCAACCAACAATTAAGGCAATTTGACTGGCAACAGTGAGACAACCTGAGTCCTAGTGAATGATCACTTTGCAGTTCAAGATTCCAACCCCATTTTTCCCCACCCACATGGGGCTGCCTCACAGCCCTGGATGCAGGCTACCTATTACCTAATACTCAAGGTTGGATTCAATTAATGTATTATTTACTGCTTGGTTCTAGTCCTCATTCTTTTCATATTTTTCCCTCTTTGTTAGGGACACAGTTCTTCCAGATAGTTCAGGGATGTCCAGGTAGGCTGTGCACGTCTGTTTTCGGTGTCACGCTGACGACAGCAGTCTCTTAAGGTCGCTGCCACTCTTCCTCGAGTTGCTGCTGTGGGATCGGAATGGCCCAGGGGGAGAGAGTCTCACAGGTCTCTGGAGTGAGCACCTCAGGGCTTCCCACCCCTCTTGGGCCCGGCTCTTGAGTAGGATGTCTTAGCCTGTGAGTGGCTGGCTTGCGATGACTTGGGTTGAGTAGATCTGGGCTGAGGCCTAGACTGGGAGGCCTGGGGCTTGCGTGGCTGGGGCTGCGTGGGTTTGGATGGCGAGGATTTGGCCTGGGAGGGCTGGGGCTGTGTGGGTTTGGATGGCGAGGATTTGGCCTGGGAGGGCTGGGGCTGAGTGGGTTTTGTGTGAGTGGGTTTGGGTTGGGAGGACGTGGGTTGGGAGGGTTTGGGCTGGGGGTGCTGGTACTGGGATGGCTTGGGCTGACCAAACAGAGAGTTGGGTAAAAATGTGTTGTTGGACATGGGATGGGATCCCTTTTGGACAGCTGGATTTAAAGGCCCCCCTTGGGTCTTTGGCTTGAATCCTTGCTGAAAGGCGGGTCTTATGGGTCTTTGTATGACTCCTGCAGGTCGACAGGCTTGAGAGTGAGCATTCACGGTATGAGATGTTGTTCTCATAGGTTTTCCAGTGGCCTCAGTCGGCTGTGCTGCCTGGGGGTGGGCTTGCCTAGGCTGCGGCTTCCCAAATGGTCCTGTTGGCCGTGCGCCCAGGGGATGGGGGTGACGTATCCAGGGGGCCATTACAGCAGGCCTTTCACAAGCTCCCAAGGTCTGTGGTCTTCGAGGCCAGGCCTGTACATGCGGACTAACAGGTCTTAGCGGTCTCCCAAATAGTCCATGCACGTGATGTTTACGAGGGAATCTCGAAAATCTCATAAACCTTCCACCGGGACAAAATCTCGGGGGTTGGAAGTGCTGGACCCCAAAACTTCTACCTTGACCATGGGCCCATGAACTCTGAAAAGGTGAAGGATGGAACCACTTAGACTTCTGTCCTGCCCCAAAGTGGGAGCCCATAACCCACGGGGCTCTGAAAGGAACACGGTTGATGGGGAAGAAGCAGGAGTTCCACAGGTGAGGCCTGACCCCGGGGCCGAGGTGGATGTTCGCAGGAGCCGGGCTGCCCTCCCCTGCAGCTCCGAACCCTTTCGCTGGCAGCTCAGCTGTGCTTTCTGACGAGCTTTCCGGCTGCCTGTGTCCTTGTGTTCCCTCGTCTTCGGCGGCTCCAGCGCAGCTTTCACTAGGAGGGACTGGAACTCCGTCAGCGTCCTCCAAGTCTTGGTCCACCTGGATCCCCAGCTCTCTGGCCAGGGAGCCCATGTCCTCCACGGACACGCGTTGGAGGGAGGAGGACATCACGTCTCCGAGGGCAGTGTGGAGTCTCTGTATGTTCCCCCCTGTCTCCCCAGCCGCCTCCTCCTCCCAGAACAGTAGCTGGGATGGCCTCAACTTCAGGATCGTCTGGAAAATCTGGGCCTCTTCACTTTCCCTGGCCTGGGGACTGAGGACGAAATAGCATCTCTCCATGGCGGCTTCTCCTAAAAACAGGAGCAGGTCCCATTCCTTTTCACCTAGGCAGTCGGTGAAAAAAAACACGGCCGAGGACACTTCCATCAAGAAGCCAAATTGCACCCAAAACCTTTCGACATCTCCACGAAGGTTGGCCAAGGCAACAGGCTCTTGGGGAAAGGGGGCGTCCTCCTGTGGCCTGTCGCCGTCAGGAAAACACCACGCGATCTCCACCAGGCCGTCGGAGATCCGCCGGGGAGGCCCCGGCGCCGCCTCGTCCCGGTGGAGGAAGACGTGGCGTGGTTCCAGGTGGGCAGGGCTGAGCAGCGCGTTGAGGATTCTGGACTTGGAGATGCTACAGTCTCCCAGACGCACAAAAGAGATGACGGGCATCTTCACGCGAGCCAGAAACGCTTCCGTGTCCCCTGCAGGCCCCCCTAAAGCCCGCGCTGGCTGCTGCTTCGCCACGTCCCTCATGGCTCCCAGCATTAAGATGCTTCTGTTGTTCTCCGCATCCGGCAGCAGCAGGGGGAGCGCGAACTGGCATCGGCGCATGCTCGCCAGGACTTGGCGCTGCAAAGCGCCGTCTGAGCACAGCAGGGAGGCACAGAGCATGTCCAGGGGGTTGGGGGCGCCGACGTCTCTGATGGCCGTGTCCCCCCCGACGCCAGCTGGCCATTCCCCTCTGCTCTCCTCACTCACAGCGTCGTGTCTAAGGATTGACTCTGGAGCCGCCACCTCCAGGGCTTGAACTCTCACCAGGAAATTCCAGGCCAGGTCTGCCGGGGTCTCGGGGGTCCACTTACACCCTCGATCCAAGGAGAACTGTCTCACGGCATCTGGCGACAGCTTTCTGCTCCTGTCCAGGTTCAGACAGGACAGGACGTCTTTAAACACCTTTTTTCTTTCTGTGGGAAAGAAGGTAACTCGGTGAATGTCACTTTCACATTCGAAGTCCTTCCCTGACAGCTGTCAGAGGGAGCAGGGTGCAAACAGATGAAGGGGTTAAGCAAAAAAAAAAAAAAAACCCAAAAACTAAAACTACCCTCACAGAGGGACAGCAGTGTGGTCGTTGCCAGAGGGGAAGGAGAGGTGCGGGCGGCAGAAGAGGGTGAAGGGGGATGTACGGTGACAGAAGGAAACCTGGACCTGGGTGGTGAACACACTACAATACACAGATGATGTATGCCAGAGCTGTACCCCTGAAACCTATATAATTTTATTAACCAATGTCACTCCGATAAATTCACTAAAAATAAATGATACATTTTTTAAAAGGAAGAACGACTCTAATTGAAGAGTCTAGCATAGTTTTCTTCATCGAGGTGGCAATCGATATTTGGTAGACTGGATCGAGCCGAGTGAGAGTATTTTGAAATTGTCTCCACTTCCCACAAACTCCTCTCCTGCCTTCATTTCAACCGTGAGGCCCGTGATCGCCATATTCCCTTGGTTACAAAGGCGCTCAAACGACTGAAGAAACCGAATTTAAGGACGGGAAGGTAATGCCCAAAGTAAGTGGCTAGCGGCTTCTCGTCCGTGTAATGGGGGTGACGACAGCAACCGGTCAGCTGCGATCAATATCCATCTCTCCTTACCCTGCGCAGCGTCCGGGCCTGCTCCCCAGCAGCACCCACCTCTGGGGACAGCCTGCTTACAGCGGGCAAGGAACTGCTGAGACGCTGACATCTGGGGCCCTTCCTCCTCCCCTCTCCTAGTGGTCACCCATAGGTCCCATACCTTCCATCCTCTCCTCCTCCTCCGCCTCCTCCTCCTCCTGCTCCAACGGCAGGCCCGTGTCTGACTCCCCAGGACTCTGTTCTTCACCGGAGAGCTCTGTGGTGTCGGAATACGCAGAGTCCTCTTCGCCATCGTAGACCAGGTACTCTGGGGCACTGGGGTCCTCTTCCTCCACAGCGCTTGCTGCATCTCCAGAGCACATCCCTGACTCCAGACAGTCCTCCTCCCCTAAGTATAAAGAATCGTCGATCTCATCGTATCTCTGTCCATCCTGTAAATAGTTAACAGCTTCTGAAACTTCATATTCGACATCCTCCACTGAGCGTGGCAGTGGGGCCGCTGGTGTGTGGCCCTCCTCCGCCCCCGCCCCTGAGGGCCCAGCCGTCTCCCCATAACTGGTTTTCTTGTCCTCGAACGTCTCAGTCTCGGAGGGTTCCAAACCCAGGCGCTCTTTCTCCGCGAAGGGCACCGCGGGCTCAGAATCCCCAGGCTGTTTCTCTCCCGGGGAAAGTGGCTCTTCTGAAGTCTCGCTCGTACCCATGGATTGAAGAGGTTCTATGTCCTCATGTTTTAAACATTCTGAAAAGGAACAGGACAGTTTTAGGGGTTTTATTTTGGTTTTCAAATTAACACCCACAAAAAAGAAATTTTCTGTTTACTTGAGTTTCCGAGCATTCTCTCTCTTCTTTAATTCATTGGGAGGTGGAAATACCTACCACCCCCAACGTAAGTGGCAGGAAGTCAACTGTCGGAACCTTCTTTTCTCACTGGGGGAAAAAGTAGACCCCGCTCCTGCCTTGCTCAAAATTCCAAGTCTTTCATAGCAAAGACAAATCTCAACTGAGTGAAAAAAAATTAAATCTTATGAGCAGCATTTACTTGTGGATTTACTGTGACCCAAAACCAGCTCAGAATTCCGTGGGCCATTGCCGATAAAGTCCGATCCGAATGGTTTCTAATCAGCAAGCAAATAGCTCTAATTTAAAATAGTAAATCCTAGAAATAGTAAGACCTGGTTCTCTAAGCAGACAGGTCTTGTTCTACGTTGGGGACCATTAACATCAACCTTGGGATCTCTCACGCTGCCTCTGTCTTCTCTCACTCGCTCCCTGGATTCCCGCAGAAGGAGCTGCACTTGCTCCTGGTGGCGGTCCGCAGAACCGCTCAACAATCCATTCTGGAAGAATTGCCCCCTCATTTGCCACCAACTATCTCTGAACACTGAAAAATTAGCGTTAGAGTTGCTTCAGAAAACTAGGGTTCTGCTGGCATTCTCATCAGAGAAAAAAATGAAGAGAGCGACCCACCCTGTATATGGATTGTTTGCCCTGTATTTCCCAAATGTCTGCTCTAAGGGAAAGACGCAGCTCGTGGTTTGGGGACTGTTTATGTTCGTGAGTCCCCCGACTTGATAAAGAAATCCCTGCTGTGTCACCATGTACAGCAGTCTCTGCCCAGCTGTGAGTAATTCGGGGCATCCGTCGTGATCATGAGCAGTGTATACCAGCTCTGAAACAACTGCAAATGTTGGTTGCACTTTAAACAAAAAAATTATCATTCCCCGAAGTAAGATGCATTGTTCCCTGCTTTTTGAATCCCGGCCGCTTCCCCTGTATCATATTTCAGTGAAAAATTATCTCTGGGGGAAAAGACAAATGAAAATAACAAGTGATCATTGTCTTTTTTCAGGAAATCTGCCTCGTCCCTTTCACCCCTCAAAAAGCGTAGAAATTCAACTTACCGTGCCAGCTTAAGCCCCACGTTGTCGTCGCCGACTCTGGAAAAGTACTAAGTAAACATTGGAGAAAGTGCTGACAACTGGCTTCTCCCTTTTTCTGTACCAAAATCAACAACTTTCGACTTTTCTTCAGGGGATCTCTCATGTCCTCCAGCGTCTCATACTCGTCCTCAGAAATCAGCCTCCGAGAGGTCAGGGAATCTAAGACGGAATCAAGATCTTGCTGGAGGATTTCCAGCAACCTTTTCCGTTCTCTCTCTATAATCTCCGAGGGTGCACTCGGGGTAGCCATTGCTGGTGTTTTCTCCAGCCCAGGAACGGGAATACGAAGTTCTTCCATTGGGTAAAAACAAGCTGAGGTGGATCGGAGCAGCTGGCTGCTGCCACACGGCCCAAGGGGAAGGCCAGCTTCCCCTACGGGGCGGTGGAGGAGGAGCCCAAGAGAAGATCGGTGAGTTTGTCAGCTCCTGCAAAAATGGAGGAGCCAAAAAAAAAAAGTGGCAGGAAAGGGTAACCTGCAGACAGGAAAGTGCAAACAGAGGGGAGAGGAAAGCGAAAGGGAAACAGGCAGACGTGGTAACCGAGGCACGAAAGACTGACCAACCCACAGGAAACGGAGAAACTAAGACCGAGGAGGAACCAGCTGCTGGGGAAGCAGGAGGGAAGGAAGCCAGGTGTGATCAACATCAAACACCATGTCCTTGTCAGGGGCCCCCCTGTCTCCCGTTTTTTACAATCCAAAGGAATATTTTTACCAACTACTTTGTAAATGTAAGTTTTTTAGTAGCTCAAGGAACATGTTTAAGGAGGGAACGCCACCTCGTCCTATTTTGCTGTACAGTGCCAGTGCTTTTTTTAAAAGAGGTGAAATTGTTTGCTGGTTGTCTGCTCTTTGGTACAAGCAGAAGAAGTGGGGCAGTGAACAGGGGAGGCTCTGATGGTCTTGGGTGTCAGCTTAACATTCCGTTGATGGGGGCAAGGGCGTGTCCCATAATGCAAAGCACAGTAAATGGCAGTTTGGAGTCCGTCCTGCATGTAACGTGTCTTCAACATTTTAAATTTCTTCGACTCCCATGTTTTTGGTAGAATTGTTTCCTAAAGAAAACCACTCCTTGATCTTGGTTCTACGTGTCCAAATTTTGTGCACTCTGTAACGTCTTTGGTGTGGTTGTCCAATTTTCTTCATAAAGCTGTGCTGTGAAAGATTAAAACTTAGATTATGCCATGTATATGACATTAAATCGTGAATTCGTGGGACTATGATGTAACGGTATCAACATTTGAAGATATTGGTACCTGATATTCTATTTTTTATTTTTAGTTTTTTTAAAGATTTTATTTATTTACTTTCCAAGAGAGGGGAAGGAAGGGAGAGAGGAAGAGAAACATCAGTGTGGGAGAGATACATGGATTGGTTGCCTCTCATGCACCCCCAACTGTGGTCTCGGCCCACAACCCAGGCATGTGTCCTGACTGGGAATCAAACCAGCAAATTTTTGGTTTGCAGGCCGCCACTCAATCCACTGAGTCACACCAGCCAGGGTGAATGTCGGTATCTGGTATTCTATTAAGGAAAATTTGCCTCCAAATTTTAAGTTGGAAAGTCACGGGAATAACTGTTTAGAAAAAGAATCACAACTATATTTTAGGTTTGGGGTATGTCCGTATGTAGGTTAAAAGTTGTATGAAAATTGAAATGCCCATGTCCTTATCCTCAGAACAAGCGATAAAGTCTCAAGAAAGAAAAATGTTTACAAAGGGAAAGAAGAATTCTAGTTGGCAAAGGTGAACTATGTCAGTGCTGCCTGGTGTGGGAGACCTCCGACACTAACAGGCCGGGGCAGCGTGGCCGCCCAGCCCCGCGCCGGCCACACCCTGGCTCCTGCGGTTCTTTCATCTGCTCTTTCCCAGACCAGACTCAGTCTCCACCACTGGCCCCCAGGGGCCGCTCTGGGAAGTCTCCTTTGAACTTCAGATCGCACTAGGTATTCCCTGCTCTAAGCTCTATCTGTGATCATAAAAATGTGAATTGATAACTCTTTTTGAAGAGAAATCTGGCAATATGCAGCAATAAATAAATGTTGATAGAAAAAATATTCATACCCTTCAGTCCAGCAATTCCCCTGCTGGGAAATCTTCTGAAGGGAATGACCAGACAAATGCCCAAAGATGCATGCACAAGACTCTGTATTGCATGATTGTTTATAGTAACAGGAAATTGAAAGTAATAAAAATTTCCATAAATTGGGGGTTTGTGGAATAAATGTTAACACGTCAACAATGAAACACCAAAAAAAAGTGGTTAAAAAGAATGAAGTAAATCCTTACATCTTGACAAGTTGTGATACCCATGATGTATTGGTATAGAATACAGTAAGTTACAGATCCCATTTATGTTTTAAAAATATGTATATAAGCCCTGGCTGGCGTAGCTCAGTGGACTGAGCTCAGGCTGCGAACCAAAGCATCACAGGTTCGATTCCCAGTCAGGGCACATGCCTGGGTTGCAGGCCACGGGGTTGCAACCGCACATTGATGTTTCTCTCTCTCTCTCTCTCTTTCTCCCTCCCTTCCCTCTCTATAAATAAATAAATAAATAAATAAATAAATAAATAAAATATGTATATAGTGTATACATATAACATGCACACATAAATACACATTGTACTTGAAATAAGACAGCTAAGAGATACCCCGATTATAACACTGGTATCTCTGTGGATCGGTTACAGAGGGAGTCAAACTTCCTACTTTAAACATTACCATTTAATATGTTACTTTTTTGGCTCTTATTAGCAAACTTTATTTTGATTAAAAAAAAACTAGTTGGTCTTTATTCAGTGATGCAGTTCCTAAGAACCTGAAAACAATCTGAAATAAGGCTCAACAGAAGTCTGGATGAATAATCTGGAGTATTTTACATGTGGACAAAAAAAGGGGGGTTTTACCGAAGGTAACCCCACAGGGTCATCGGAGCTTAAATTCCTAGCTGGACAGGTCATGGTGGGTGGTCAAGCCCCAGGCATGTAACTTTCAGTGAAGGTTTGTCTTTGTTTCTATTCGCAGCGCCTACTGTTCATGTGACAAAATTAAGCCTGATTCCTCCAGTTCACCTTGTTCTGCCAGCGCTTAGTCAATTAATTACCTTTGCTGACAATTCACATTAGCAGGTAGCATTGGTTTGCTTTAGAAAGCACATAATAGGGTTATTCGGGATCATTTTTCCCTACACTTTTTCAATGTTTGGATAGTTCATCGTCTTGCGGGGGACTTTGATGGGGAAAGGTTAACAACTGGATTCACATTAATCGAGGTGTGGGAACCACCCATTTCGAAACTATTTGGAACGGGTTTCCCGAGTGCAGGCTCCCGGAGCCTACCCAAAGCTGCCCAATCGGATTTCTTCACGCTGCGATGCGGGACACTACCCTCAAGATCCGCGTGGGTAGTCAAAACTCGACCTGTAAATTACTACAGTTTTCTAACATCATTTGCTCGGTTTTTAGATTCTGAGTCGCCTCGCTCCTCGCAGCGACCTCTCAGAGAAGCTTCCGGCGAGAGGGAAAAGGACCCCGAAGAACCCGGTTTCTCCGCATCGGGATCCTAGTCCCTTTACGCGGAGTCCGCGGCGCGTACCGCCGGGAGGGACAGCTTCACACTCCAGGTTCCCCACCAGCTCGGGACCGCGCTCGGCGACGCGGCCACAGCTCTGGCTGAAAACGCGCGAAGGCCCAAAGGCGGCTCCAGCAGCAGAGGCTCCAGCACCACAAAGCTCCGAGTTTCGGCCCCACCCGCCAGCCGCGAGCTGAAACTCCCACCGGCCCCGCCCACCCCTTAAACACACCGTAGTGACGGACCCTTGAGGACGCTGCACCGCGCCCCGCCGGAAGTACTCCCCAGAGCGGAAGCTTTTCAGCGCGATATAGCGGAAGTGTCTTCTCTTCCGGTCTCTTTGGTCACGGCGGCAGAGGCGAGATGGTGAGTTGGTGGCAAGGCCTCTTCGAATCGCCCCCCATCCGTGTCCCCAGCGCCACGCTCCTTGCTCTCCGTGGGAGTGCCGGCAAGGCTGCCGATCATGGGAGCGGGTGGGCAGGGAAGGGACGCGCTGTGGCCCTCCCGGAGCAGGAGAGTGGCTCCTAACGCTACCTGGGGTGCCGAGCCTGCGGTCTTGGAACTGGAGCCGCTGTAGATCCCTCGCTGCAGGCTGAGCTTTGGTGTCCGCACCGCCCTGCCCTCGGGTGGGCATTAGAGGAAGAAGCTGGCTTCGGGGCGCCTCGCTCTGGAGGAGAGTGGTTTTGTGGGGTCGGTGGTGCTTGGCGGGCGCCCTTAGGTGTGTGAGTGAGGAGGGTAGGGAGGAGAACCACATTTCGTCTTTTGCCTTTTCCCCGCTAAAATGTGGCAGGTTTCGAAGCACAGCAACTCCTGCGGGAAGCTTTAGATAAAATGTGAAATGCAGGTAGTGGTTTTGGATCGAACCTCTAAGAAAAGTGAACTGCGTTGGCCAGAAAGTTCCTATGTTTTTTTTTTCCCGTCCTGGTGGTTTGAGTCGTGCTTAGCTGTCTTTAACTTTATGTATGCAAAGCAGTTTTGTTAGATTGTGTTGTGTCAGGTGTCATCTCAAAGTGCATTTTAAAATGGTCAAAATGACTGAGTTTTTGTGCAGCTATTTTAATAGTGACGATGAAAAGAAAATAACATTTTTGGCGTATTGTGGTTTATTTCAAGAGAGGTAAAAATGCAGCTGAAACGCAAAAAAAAAATTGTGCAGTGTGTGGCGGAGGTGCTGTGACCGATTAAATGTGTCCGAAGTGGTTTCTGAAGTTTCTTGGCCATGTTGACATTTTGGCCAAATTCATTCCTTGCTGCGGGGCTGGCTCATGCATTGGGAGACGTTTAGCAGCACCCCTGGCCTCTACCCCCTGGAAGCCAATAGCGGGAGAGAGCCGACATACTCAAGATATCCAAATAATAAAAGTTATTGGTAAGAACGAAGAAAAATGTCTTATTATATGGCGAAACGACACGAACTTTCTGGCCAGCCCGAGGGTAACTTCAGCCCCTGTGACCGTGGTAAAGCTCGCCTCTGCTCCAGCGTCTTTACGGGAAGCGCGCGCCGACTGCTGTGTTTCACAATTGTTTGTCCCCTTGGCTCACAGACGAAAGGGACGTCGTCGTTCGGCAAGCGCCGCAACAAGACGCACACGCTGTGCCGCCGCTGCGGCTCCAAGGCCTACCACCTGCAGAAGTCCACCTGCGGCAAGTGCGGCTACCCCGCCAAGCGGAAGAGAAAGTGTGAGTTCACCTTTTCCCAGGCGGACTGGGCGTTGGGATGCATCTCGGGGTCGGGAACGGTACTGCTGGCGCCGCTCCTGGGGGCTGCTTTGGGACCTTCTTGGGGGGTGCCTCCCGTGAAGGTGTGAGCCTGCGTGCCCGTGAAGCTGATTGAAAACC